AGTGCCGCCATTTGCCGCTCAAAAACCACAGCCACCGCTGTTGTTGCAGGAGCGTGTACACACTTGAGAGCAGCCCATGCCTTTGGTCCCTTTACTGGTTCACGCTAAAAAGGCTTGATGTGACGGATTTGGCTGCTCCCCAACGCTTGCCCAAGTAGAAGGTAGCCTTGTGCGCTCTTCCGCACCCACGGGCTCTTCTCCGGATCGTTCTCGGGGCGCTTCTCCGTTCCTTCCATCACCTCCAGCAGATCATAGTGGTCAAAGATGTTCTCCATCTTGAAGGACCACTCAGCAAAGTTGTCACCGTTGAACTTGTCAAGGCCAAACACTCTAGGCTCATCCCTAGAGGGTCCAAGGCTAGGTTGCACCGGAGCAACGGGTGGATCTTGGTGTTGACCTTGTGCTTGTGCGTCTTCTCTGCCTCCAGCACCTCTGCCACCCCCTTCATCATGTCTAGGCATGGTCGAGACGGCTCCAAGGGGCTCTGATACCACTTGTTATAGTCACAATAGGCTCAGATGTGCCTATAATGAGAGATAGAGAGCACAGTCGGATTTCCGTCAGACGGATTCAAATATTGATAACGATTTTCTGGCTAACTCAAACGGTGATCTTTAAATTGGATCTAGAGCGCGTTGCTGTCGTCTATCAGCAGCAAGTTGAATCATGAAATTCCATAAAGATTTGACGACGCTATGGCGGTTTGACTGGCAGCAGGTATAGCAGGCACTATAGTCTTGGAAGTACAAACTTAGCAAGAAGAGTTCGAGATGGAGATGGTTCCCAGCCTCTACATACCCCAAGAGCCGAGGTCCAGGTTGGTGGTACACTACCACAGAGTCCCCAACCATGAAGAGTCTCGAAACAAACCCTCCAAGGGGCTACACCAAGTGAAATGTAACACTACACGAAGTAGCGTAGCTATTTTCACTATTTAATATTTATCCGTGTCCCTTGGGCTTGAAATCTTGAGCTCTTGGTCTTGGTTCTGCAAGATAAATTCTTCTTGAGTTGATGGGGGGTTGCTGCACACACCTGTGATGCGATGGACACTTCACACTCGACAAAATAAAAAAAACACATGCGACACGCAAACGACGACTTGACATGCGAGTTGTAAAAACTCGCTAATGTCTTGACCGACACAAACCACATTGTGATACACCATCCAAACTCACACACAAGCACTAGATAGCAATGACATAGACTCACAAATCATTCCATGCCATGCATGCACACACACAAACAAGGACGACAAGCCGAGTGCAAGCCATAGGGTTGCACCAACACAGGCTTGTAAGGGAACCCGAGGGGACCGCTGGACAGGGAAGGGTACTGCAGCTGCGAGCAACCACAGGACCAGAGGAGGGGTTAGCAAGTGCGACAATGGCAGGCGTCGCAAGCAGTGTAAATGTGCATGGTCGCGAAAGAAGCAGGCTGACGCACCGGAGTCAAGTGTGAAGGACAGCGAACTAGTAGCGAAAGACGAAGGAGGAGCGAGTGAAGAGCCTAGGCTAGACAAAGCAAACGGTCCTATGCCTGACGCAGCAGGGGATTCTGTATGACACACAGGTGCTACGCCTAAGCTAGTGAGCACAGGGTGATAAGATCTGGACACACTAGAAGCGCCAGCATACAAAGAATGCATAGCAGAAATTATGTGATCCATGTCTAAGTTAAAAACAGGCACACCGTGGCGCAGCAGACTGGGCTAGTCAGGGTCGTCCGGGGCCTGGCCGAAGCGGTGATGGAAGAGGTCGTCGAGGCGGCGGAAGAAGCGGGCGGTGGGGTGCCGGCGGCGGTGCACCGTGCCACGGAGGGGCCTGGTCTGCAGCTGGTACTGGCAACTTGCAGCACCGAAGCCGCCAGTAGACGCCGAGCTGCGAGGGCCACCCCTGTGGCCACCACCTCTTGGGGCTCCTGCCAACCCCGATGGGAGGCGAGCCCATGGATGCTGCTACTGCTGCTGCTGCTGCGGTGACTGCTGATGGTGCTGTGGCTGCGACTGCTGCTGCTGTTGCGGCTTCTACGACTGCTGCTGCTCCTGGACACCAGCTCCAACCCCCTCGTCAGAACTGTCCCCGCCACCACCACCACCACCAGCGCCACCACCACGCTCTCCCTTGGGGCCGCGGTGGCCCCGACGCTGTCGCTGCTGTGGGAAAGCCGCAGCTGCAGTCTCAGTGGCAGGGGCAGCTCTGGCAACCATGGTGGAGACGTCAGCATACGTGCACTGGGAGGGAGCACAACCTTGAAAGAGAGGGATTGCCGCAATACCGCTCGACTGAGCGATAGTGCGCTGGCGAGTCTTAATCTTAGACAGAGCAGTGACAAAGGCAAATAGGGTGAGGTCACCAGAGTGCTGACTAAGGAAGTGGTCGCAGGCAGTGGCTAAGCGGTCAGGCAGGCACATGGCAATAAGGTATAGGGTAGCGCAGAATGGTGGGGGGAAGGCAGTGAGCTGGGCGGTAGTGCTAGCAGCGCGGTAGCTAGTCTCTAGTGCACGGAGGTGAGTAGCGAGGTCAGCGACAGTAGGGAAAGCGGAAAGGTCAGGGAATAGCATGGGAAGAATCAAGCGGCCAGTGGAGGTGGAGGCAGGGGTAGAGTAGCGTGCAACTACTGCATCGAGGAAGTCCTTGGCGTTCGCGACAGCAGTGAAGCGCGGACGCTCAGACAAAGGAAGCACATGACTAATGGCGAGCTGCGCTACAGGATCGCGAGAATCCTGGACAGCGCGAGTGAGCGCAGCAGGAGCAAAGGCCACAATCTCTGCAGTGGTGAGGTCAGTAGGGAGGGGATCAGGTGCAGAGGGGCGGGAATGCAAGCCATCAACATGCATAGCTAGGGAGTGCCTATCCTGGCGCTGACCTGTCAGGTGCCAGCGGAGATCGACAAGCCAGGCAGCGAAGTCGATTGTGTGCCCCTCCGCGTCCAGGCGAAGTATGGCGTCAGCCATCGCGCAGCCTCAGCGGCACAGGTCCACGGCGGCACAGCGTCATGGCGACAAAACGTCACGGCGGCACAGCGTCACGGCGGCACAGCGGCACGGGAACACGGCGGCACAACGATACAGGTGCTCATGGGCTCGGCGACAGGGCTCTCCAGCTGGAAAACCGGGCGGGAGGCCGAGGAGTGTCCGAGGCGCTCAGGGCCCGAGGCGCGCAGAGCCAGCACGGCGCGAAGGGCTGGCGGAGTGGTAGGGCCAGGAGGGCGCGCGAGGAGCCAGGGAGGTGCAGGAGGGGTCGGGGAGGTACGCGAGTGGCAGACAGGCGCACGAGGGGCCGGTGAGCGCGAAGGGCCGGCTAGGCACACGAGGGGCCAGCGAGCATGCGAGGGGCCGGCTAGGCGCGAGGGGCCAGCTAGGCTCGAGGGGCCGGCTAGGCTTGAGGCGCCGGTAAGCACGCGAGGGGCCAGCTAGGCGCGAGGGGCCGGCAAGCGCGAAGGGCCGGCAAGGCGCTTGTTGGGCCGGGCGGGTGCGTGAGGGGCCGGGCAAGCGCGCAAGGGGCTGGCTAGGCGCTAGGGGCCGGCTAGGCACGAGGGGCCAGCGGGGCGCTTAAGGGGCGGCGGGTAGCGAGGGGCCGGCGAGGCGCACGAGGGGCCAGCTGAGCACAAGGGGCCAGCGGATACGCTAGGGGCCGGCTAGGCACGTGGGGCCGGCTAGGCGCGAGGGGCCGGCTGGGTTTGTGAGAGGCCAGCGCGGCGCTGAAGGGGCGGCAGGCACGCTAGGGGCCGGCGGGCGCGCTAGGGGCCGGCGGGGCGGTAGGCTAAACCTAGGGGCGGAAGCGGGCGAGCGGACCTAACCTACTCATGATACCATGTTAGAATACGAGAATGACTAGAAAGAAGAGAGAAAAAGGGAGATATAGGGTTGGATTTGTACCCTCTAATAACATACACCTATCTAGCCTATAACTTTTATAGACAAACATATGTATACATTGACAGGGTATGGTTGTCAAACATATATTGTATGTTTCTGTAGACTACATGGGGTTGTGCCTTAGGGAGTACAACCCATTAGGTTATATTCCCTTGTATGCCTTGTTCTAGACATTCTTTCACTTGAACATGGTATCATGAGTAGGTAGGTCCCCCCCCCCCCCCCCCTAGCACTTCCGCCCTAGGTCCTAGCCGCCTCGTCGCCCCGCGGTCCCGTCACCTAGCGGTCCCGCGGCCTCGTCCCCTAGCGGCCCCGCGGCCCCGTCACCTAGTCGCCCCACGGTCTCGTCGCCTAGCAGCCCCGCGGCCCCGTCCCCTAGCTGCCCCGCGGCCCCGTCACCTAGTCGCCCCGCGGCCCCGTCCACTAGCGGCCCGGCAGCCCCGTCCACTAGCGGCCCCGCGGCCCCATCCCCTAGCGGCCCCGCGGCCCCATCCCCTAGCCGCCCCGCGGCCCCGTCACCTTGCGGCCCCGCGGCCCCGTCACCTAGCGGCCCCCCGGCCCCGTCCCCTAGCGGCCCCGCGGCCCCGTCACCTTGTGGCCCCGTGGCCCCGTCACCTAGCGGCCCCGCGGCCCCGTCCCCTAGCGGCCCCGCGGCCCCGTCACCTCGCGGCCCCCCCTCCTAGCCGGCCCCTCCCCTCCCAGCCAGCCCTGCCTCCTAGCCGGCCTCGTCGCCCAGCCGGCCCCGTCTCCCTGCCGGCCCCGCCTCTTTGCCGGCCCCGTCACCTTGCCGCCCGCGGCCCCGTCTTCTAGACGCCTCGCTGCGATTGCAGTGACGAGGGCAAGCCGAGCTTACAATATTTACAAAATCTCTAAAATTACCGTTCGACGTATCACCTTTGTGACACACGTGTAAAGGAGCTCTTGATTCTTTGAGACCAAGCACAGTAACGAGGTGATTCTTAACGGAGAAACAAAACCAGCCCCAAACTGATTCGCCAGACATACAAAACCCTCAACCTTGTCCCCCCAGCCTAACATCACCTCAACCCTCAAACCCCCCTCCCCCCCTTCCCCGTATATTGCCCCACTCCATCTCCGCCTTTCTCAACCCTACCATGCTCCCGTTCTAATGTGCTCCCCTCACCCTGTCCCTTACATGCGTATCCCAGCAAGGCCACTTCTAGCGAAGCTGCTACTTTGTAAAGCCGATGCTTGCGAAGCTGCTCGTAGCGTAACGTCTGACGCAAAACAGGCAGCCGGGACAGCCTGTGTGACAGATTTGATTTTATAGGCGACTAAAAGATCACCTGCGCGACAGTGGACGCGAACGGAGTAGCCAGTGGGGCGAGAAAAAATTATAGAGCGGTCTATCTGTGATTGTTGCGGCGTTTGTGACTGAAATGAAGGGAACGGTGACTGTAGCGACGGACCCCATTCACGAAGCCGCGACGAGCGGCGCGGATCTGGAAGCGTCGGGCAACAGGACGGTGGTATCCACCAGTGACGTTGTAGCGGGCCTTGTAACAGGTAGCGTGGGGGTGTCGACGAGCATGGAGGTGGTAACTGGGGGAGGTGGGACTGGTGGTGAAGGTGCGGAAGGGGGAGGTGCGACGGCGGAAGGTGCGACTGGGGCAGGTGCTTCCCAGGATGGTACCTCAAGTGCAGCGGCGACGATAATGAATTATGGTGCTGCCGAATCGACCATGTGCGATGTGACTGTAGGCGATGTGGTTGAGGGTGGAGCGGGATCGGTGCAGAAAATGGAGATAGGTGACTATAGCGAAGGCAAGGGAGCGTGTGATGGTAGCGAAGTGACGGAAATGAGTGCCGTTACCGTGTTGAACGGCGAGCGTGAGGCTACCGACGCAAAGGGAGTCAGTGGGGCTAACGCGGGGGTTATTGGAAAGGAGGAAGATGCTCGGGTGAAGGAGGAGGAGACGAAGGTTAGGGTGGAGGAGGAGGGGGGTAGGGTGAGGGAGGAAGAGGTGGTTAGGGTAGAAGAGAAAGCGGAGATTAAGGGGAAAGAACCAGAGGAGGGTAGGGTAGTGATGAAGGAGGAAGAGGAGGAGGAGAAGGAGAGTGAGGAAGATGAGGAGGAGAGTAGTGAAGAGGAGTCAGATGAAGAGGAGGAAGAGGAGGAAGAGGAGGACGAGGAGGAGGAGGACGAGGAAGAAGTAGAGGAGGAAGAAGAGGAAACAGAGGAAACAGAAGAAGAAGCGGAGGAGGAGGAGGAGGAGGAATTGCGCAAGGAGATGGTGATAGAGGAAGAGGAGGAGGAGCTGGAGAGGCTTGAGGCGCACGTGGGGGATATGGGGGACCCGGTGAGTGCATGCTGTCGTGTAAGGCTAGGGTTTTGAGAGTAGGCTGTTGAGATTTTACAGTAGCTTCCCCCCGAGTCCAGAGGAAGAGGAGGAGCTGGAGAGGCTTGAGGGACACGTGGGGGGCATGGGAGAGCCGGTGAGTCACTTGTGAGAAGGCAAGGGGTTTTCTCTTTTCAGCCATGAGGGCGCGGGGTTTAAGGCGTCAGGGTCTGAAACGTCTTGGCAGAGAGAGTTGAGGGGCGGATGGGGGGCAACGGGAAGCGCATCAGTCACTGTGTGAGACACTAGGGTTTGAGTCAGGCTCACAAGGCCCTAGGGTTTAAGGCGCTAGGGTTTTGAATCAGGCGGCTCTCGAGTCACGAGGCTGTAGGGTTTACGGCCCAAGACACAACTTTCAGAAGCACAAGTCTTGCTTCCCTCTCTGCCAATCCATGTGTCTTCCCCATTCCCCTCCCAAAACCTCCTGCGTGTCACGATTCCCAATGTCAAGGTTGAAGACTCATCTCCCTCCTCTCTATGCTCTTTCCCCCACGTCTCTCCCCACTCGTTTCCCTCCATCGCTCGCAGGCCTTCCCATGCGTCACGATTCCCGATGTCAAGGTTGAAGACTCACCTCTTTCCACCCCTTTCCACCCCTTGCTCTTCCTCACATTGCTCTCCCCCCTACCTCTCTCTCCCCCTCCTCTCTCCCTCCCTCATCTCTCCCTCCCTCCTCTTCCTGCTCCTCACCTACCTGCCAACCCTCCCAGGCTCCCCCACCCGTCATGATTCCCGACGTTAAGATTGAGACTCGGACGAGCTGCTTCGTGCGCTTACACTCCCGCTCCTCTCCCTCTCACCCACCATCCCTCCCAGAATCTCCCGCCCGTCACGATTCCCGATGTCAAGGTTGAAGACTCGGATGAGCTGCTGCCTCTGGGCCATGTGTCAGCTGTAAGTGTGTGCCACGTGACTGGGTGTGTGCCACGTGTCAATTGTGAGTCTCCAGGTGAAGCATTATGGCCACGTGTTTGCAAATAAGGAAGCCATGTGATGCCATGTTTTGACTACACTTATATATATATATGTATATATATATATATACAGCAGTACATATTAACAAATTACTCTGTGAGCAAGGGCTCCTTGTCCTACTCAGCAGTACATGTTTGGATTGGATGAGGGCTCTTTCTCATGGGAGTGGCAGCTGGGGTCCTTGGGCCGGTGAGATGCACTGCTTCCAAGGATGGAAGCATAGGAGTGCATGGAGAAGCATGGGCCGGTGAGAGCACTGCTTCTCCATGCACGCTAAGAGATTCCATGCACTCTTTCCACGTTTTTGTCCGCTCACCCCCTCTTCCTTTTTGTTGACGTGTGACCCCACTGCTGCTGCAGATTGTCGAGACATCAGTGGTGGTGCAAGCAGACCCCACAGCCAGAGCGCTAGAGGAAGGCTCTCTACTCTTCGTAACTGAGCACCGCTGCCTCTTGGGGGTGGTGGATGAGATCTTTGGCCCGGTGAAAGCGCCGCTGTACAGTGTGCGATTCAATAAGCGAGAGGAGGTGCCGGCGCTGGCGACTGTGGGTGTAGCGGTGAGCTTTATAGAGAGGATGGCTGGGTACGTATTGGATGATGCTGCTTTGAGGGCTAAGGGGTATGATGTGGGGGAGGAGGATGAGGAGGAGGAGGAGGAGGGGAGTGCGGAGGAAGAGGAGGGGGAGGGAGGGGTGGAGAGGGGAAGGAGAGGGAAGGGGGGAGGGAAGAGAGGGGGAGGAGGAGGAGGAGTTGTGGGATGGGAGGGGGGAGATGCGGAGGCTATGTTTAGTGATGATGAGAAGGAGGAGGAGTGGAGGAGGGAACAGAGGAGGAGCAAGAGGAAGGGAGGGGAGGAGGGAGGAGGGAGGGGGAGAGGAGGGAGAGAACAGCGAGAGGGTAGAGGGAGGGGAAGAGGAAGGGGTGGGGGAAGGGATGGGTTTGGTGGTTTTGAGGGAGGGAGAGGGGGGAGAGGGAGAGGAGGAAGAGGGAGGGGAGACAGGGGGAGAGGAGACAGGGGAAGAGGAGATAGAGGGCGGGGAGATAGGGGATGGCACAACCAAGGAAGAGGGCGTGATACTTACAACAGTGCAAATGGCAGCAGCAGCAGGTATGGTAACCAAACTGGTGGGTACAGTAACCAGACTGAGGGTTACAATCGCAACGCGGCTGCTCCTCCTCCAGGCAACCAGCAGCAGTGGCAGCAGGGTGGCAGTGGCCCCGCTCCTATGATGGTCAACCCACCTCCTCCCATTGCGTCCTCCCATGTGCACCCTCCTCCTCCTCCCTTTGCCACTGCTCCTCCTCCCTACATGGCCACGCCCCCTCCATACCCCCTCATGGCCGCCCCTGCTCCACCCTTTATGCCTGGTCATCCTCCCCCTCAAAACTTCCAGCCTGGGATGACGATGCAGCAGCCGATGCAACGACCAGCACCTGCTTACCAGCAGCCCTTTCATATGGCTCAGGCCCCTCCCTTCCAGCAGCAGCAGCAGCAGCCGATGCAGCCATCACAGGGGACTGCATACCACGGCGGCATGCAGCAGCAGCCAGTGTTCCCACATCATCCCCCTCACATGCAGTACCAGCAGCAGCAGCCAGTCCAGCAGCCACAGGCGTACCAGCAAGCACCCCCACTCCAGCAACCACAACCGGTGCCATACCAGCAACAGCAGCAGCAGCAATGGCAGCCACAGCAACCACAACATCAGCAGTACCAGCAGCAGCAGCAATACCAGCAACAGCAAACGGCATGGACTGGTAGCAGCGGCCCATCTCAGGGGCAACCCGGCCAGCAGCAGTGGCCCATGCAACCCATGCAAGTGACTCAACCCATGCACCCATCGCAGCCCACACAAGACGCACAACTGCGTCCCCCTGGGATGGAATGACTCTGATTTTCAAACAGCGTGGACTGGCAGCAGCAGCAGCAGCAACAGCAGCAGCTCTTTTTTCCATGCCGCTCTTCCCCATGGATGAGGATTTGGGGGGGAATACTGTATGTGTGTGACCCTCAAAGTCTGGCATGCATTTTTAACTAGAGATTTCGACTCAGGTCAATCACCCTTGTCTGTAGGGCCCTGGATATCAGCGAATTCCTTGGTAGGAAGCAGGAAGTCAGAAAGTCGTGTACGTGACCTTTGGGACAAGCAACTCTGCCTGCATCTGCTTCACGTTTCCCATGGACCACAGATCTGATCTGATGGCTGCTCTGCTCACTCATGGTCTTGGGAAGAGCAGCAATGCAAAGTTAGGCGCTTGAGCAGAAAGAACAAGAGTAATAAGTCCTAGGCAAGAGATTGTCAAACATATTTGTATATGTTTAGTAGACTACATAGGGTCATGCCATAGAGAGTACAACCCACTAGCTATATACCCCTGTATATTCTCATTCTATTCAATACTTCTAACTCTCAGATGGTATCATGAGTAGGTTAGGTAGGTCCCCCCCGCCCACCAGCGCTTCCACCTTAGGTCCTAGCCTGTCCCGTTGCCTAGCGCCTAGCCGCCCCAAGGGCCCCGCTGCCCCGTTGCCTTGCTGGCCCCGCGGCCCCGTTCCCTAGCGCCTAGCCGCCCCGCTGGCTCCGCGGCCTCGTCACCTAGCACCTAGCCCCCGGGGCCCCGTCACCTAGCGCCTAGCCGCCCATCGCCCCGTCGCCCCGTCACCCAACGCCTAGCCACCCCGCTGGCCCCGCAGCCCCATCACCTAGCGCCTAGCCGCCCGTGGCCCCGTTGCCCTGCCACCTAGCGCCTAGCCGCCCGTGGCCTCGTTGCCCCGCCACCTAGCGCCTAGCCGCCCCGCTGGCCCTGCGGCCCCGTCACCTAGCGCCTAGGCCCCCGCGGCCCCATCACCTAGTGCCTAGCCCCCGCGGCCCCATCACCTAGCGCCTAGCCGCCCGTGGCCCCGTGGCCCCGTCACCCAGCGCCTAGCCGCCCCGCTGGCCCCGCGGCCCCGTCACCTAGCGCCTAGCCGCCCGTGGCCCCGTCGCCCCGTCACCCAGCGCCGAGCCGCCCTGCTGGTCCTGCGGCCGCGTCGCCCCTAGCGTAGCCGCCCTGCCGCCCCGTCGCCTAGCCGCCCCGTCGCCTAGCCGCCCCGTGGCCCAGTCGCCCAGCCGCCCCGCGGCATCGTCGCCCCACTGCTCCGCCGCCCCGTCGCCCAGCCGCCCCGCTGCTTCGCGGCCCCGTCGCCCAGCCGCCCCGCGACCTCGTTGCCCTGCTGCTCCGCTGCCCCGTCGCCCAGCCGCCCCGCGGCCTCGTCGTCCAGCCGCCCCGCGGCCTCGTCTCCCTGCTGCTCAGCCGCCGTGTTTCCCAGCCCCCGCTCGTTAAACCAGCCCTCCCCACCGTCCTGCACCGCGCCCCACCGTGCTGCACCGCTCAGCAACGCACTGCACCGCTCCCCACCGCACAGAACCGCGCCCCACCTCACTGCACGGCACTGCACTGCGCCCCACCGCACTGCACTGCTTTGCACCGCGTGGCACCGCACTGCACGGCGCCCCACTGCACTGTACCACTCTGCACCGCGCGGCGCTGCACTACACCACACTCCACCGAACTGCACCGTACAGCACTGCTCCTCGTCGCTCCGTCCCGCCCTTCACCGCCTGTTTGCGGCTGCAGCGGCCTTCATGACGGACTCGGTGCTACGCTTTGACGCGGAGGGTCAGCCGGTTGAGTTCGACACATGGCTCGTCGACCTCCGCCATCACCTCACTGGTCAGCGGCAGGACGGCCACTCCCTGGCTGTCCACATTGACGGTACGCTCCCCTGCCCTGACCCCCCTGCTGCTCTCCCCGCTGACCCCACGTCTGCTGACCGTGAGTCCGCTGCCACTGCTGCCCTTGCCCGTGCTGTTTGGCTGTCGCGTGACGCTGTCGCTCAGCTCGCGATTAGCATTGCCCTGCCCCTGTCTGAGTGCCCCCGCTTTAAGCTGGTCAGGACTGCGCAGGAGTTCCTAGAGGCTGTTGTTGAGCGTTATTCCACCCCATCCTCTGCCTCTGCCGGCCGCCTGATCCTTCCCATGCTTTTCCCCGATCTCGCATCTTTCCTCACTATCGCTGACCTGGCCACGCACCTGCGCTCGCTCGACGCAAGCTGGCGCGCTGCCTGCACTGAGGCCTAGCTTCGTGTGTTTCAGCCCCCTATCTGCTCTACCATTTACCTGCTTGCCACCCGCCTCCTTGACCGCCTTGCCACTACCCGCGACCACTTTCGGAGTCTGTACCCCGCTTAACTCACCCTCTCTAACTTTGTCGACACCTTGTCTGCCATAGAGACCCGTCAGCGCTCTATCGCCCAGTCTAGCGGTACTACGCCGGTCCCTATCTTTTAGGGTTGTGCTCCCACTCAGTGCACTTACTCTGACGGTTCTGCGGCTGAAGCTGAGACAGGCCCTGCTGCTGAGACCGTTGCCGCGGTGGCCGCAGCGCAGCCCCGTTATGGTAAGGTTCGCTGCCCCAAGGCTGGGCGCGGCGGGGGTAGTGGAGGAGGGGGTGGAGGTGGTGGTGGAGGTGGTTCCTCCGCTGGCGGTAGTACCGACGAGGGGGCTGGGGCTGGTGCCTCGGAGCAGCAGCCTCAGCGGGAGCAGCAGTAGGCACCACAGCTTGACCAGCAGCAGCAGCAGCAGCAGCAGCACTCGCAGCGGAGGGCCGGCCAGCTCCCGCCTGGGTGGTCTGGCGCTGGTGGTGGTGGTGGTGGTCGCGGTGGTCGTGTGCATAGCTCGTCGTCGAGTGGTGGTGCGAGTGACGGGCGCTGCCAGTACCAGCTCCAGACCAGTCCTTGCCACGGCCTCGTGTGCGGTAAGACCGGTCATACCCCCACTCACTGTTTCAGTTGCCTGGACGACCTGTTTCGTCTCCGCTTTGGTCCCACGCCGGACCTCTCCGACTGGCACAGTCTGCTCCGTCGTGGTGTTAGGATCTTTGATATGGACATGGATGAGATAAGCTCTGCATTGTATGTGCTGTATGTCGATGACTCTAGTGTGACTGGTTCCTATTACCCAGTGTTGCCTAGTGTAGGTGTGTCCAGTATGCCTAGTTTAGGCTCCCCTGCTACGTCAGGCGTAGGACCCTTTGCTTTGTTTAGCCTTGGCTCCACCCTAGCTCCTCTGCCCCCAGCCGCCACTGCCTTGCTCTCCTTACTCTCGACTTTGGCACTTCTCAGTGTTTCTTTCCGGACCACACTACGCTTATGCCGCTTGCCGCCCCTTGCAAACCCTTCCTCAGGTCCGGAAGTCGCCCGTAGCTCCACCACTCACCCCTGTTCGGCACTTCCTTTGGGCTCTCTTACAGGCCTACACATCCCCTTGTTCTCTCGAAATCTAGTTGGTGTCGGCTGTTTTCAGGACCTCGGCGTCACCACTACGTTCCCTGGTCACGAGAGGTACGCTATCTGAACTGAGGCCGCCACTGGTGCCCCCCTCACCACGTTCCCCCTGGACCCGGTGTCTGGCCTGTTTACGCTGGACACCGTGTCCCCCCCGGTTGGGACGCCCCCCCAGGTGGCAGCGTCTACCCAGGTTGCTGCGGCTTGCTTGTGTCGGTCGCTTACTCACCCGTCACTTCTGTGGCACCACCGCCTAGGTCACCCCGCCCTCATACGTCTTCATCACATGTCTCTGGACGGTCTTGTCTTAGGTCTCCCTGTGTCGCTCCCTGCGCTCCCCTCCTCGGCAGCGCCTCCGTGCACCCCCTGCGTCGAGGGCCGGTTCTGCCATGCCCCTCACTCCTCCTCATCTCCCCCCACCACCGCACTGTTATAGACCCTGCACATGGACGTTTGGGGCCCCGCCCCCGTCCATGGGCCACGTCGTGAGCGTTACTTCCTAATGCTTGTCGATGACTACACTCGCTACACCACCGTTTTTCCCCTGGAGCGGAAGGCCGACGTGCCCAACGTTCTTATCCTGTCGCTTGTCACTGCGCGTGTGCACCGAGGTCTCCCTGTGTTGCGTCTTCACTCCGACCATGGTGGCGAGTTCGCCTCTGGCTGACTTGGTCGCTTCTGTCGTGCAGAGGGCATTACTCGGACGTACACCCTGCCGGACTCCCCGCAGCAGAATGGGGTCGATGAGCGACGCATCGGTTTGGTCATGGAGGTGGCTCGTACCTCCATGATCCATGCCGGTGCACCCCATTTTCTGTGGCCGTTCGCCGTTCGCTACACCACCCACCAGCTTAACCTGTGGCCACACCCTTAGCGGCCGCAGGTTTCGCCGATCCTCCTCTAGACCGGGTCTCCTGGTGACGCGTCTGCGTTCCACGTCTGCGGCTGCCTTGCTCACGTTCGTGCCTCTGGCACGGACAAGCTCACTGCCCGCACCGTCCCCTGTGTCTTCCTAGGTTTCCCCCTCGACTCGTCTGATTGGCACTTCTACCACCCACCGTCTCACCGTTTCTTTCACTCGTGTGGCATCAATTTTGACGAGTCCGTCTCCTTCTACCACCGCTTTCCCCATCGTGGTCCCCCGGCCTCGGTTGCCCCTGTTCCTCCCCCTCCCCACCCTGCCCCGTCTGGTGTGTCTCACGTCACCACCCTCCGGTCGGTTATCCCTGCCGAGGCATCTGCTGACTCTCGCGGCTCGGCAGAGTCCCTTCCCCTAGCTATCCCTGCCCCGGTTTCTCCTCCCCTGTTGCCGACGTTGCTGTCACAGCCGCAGCCACCTCCGCAGCTGCCGTTGCCGCCGCGACCGCAGCCGCCATCGTCACCGCCGCTGGGGTTTGTGTGTACTGGGGGTGCAGGGGAGTGTGGCAAAGTGGGTACTGGAGCGGGTTCCCGTTTTCGGGGTGCTGGCGTGGGACTTCTTGGAGCGAGCCGTGGTGCCGCTGGAGGTTCTTGTGTTGGCGTCGGACAGCAGCCGTCGCAGTCGCCGCCGGTGTCCGCTCTTCGCCTCCTCGGCCTTCCTTTCTCTGACCACCCGCCGGTGCCTCCTCAGTCGCCACTGCCTCCTTCTCTGCCGGTTTACGGCCTTGTGTTTCCTCCAGTGGACTCTTCTCCGGCTCGTTTCCCTCCTCGTTCTCCTCCTGTGTCTCCTCCCCTCTCTCCTGACCTGACTCCTCCATCTCACGTCTGGGCTCGTCGTCCATCTCGTGCTCGTCCTACCTCCCCTGTTCCGCGTTCTCACCCTATGTTTCTTCGCTCCCACGCATCTCGTGCTCCTCTGCTCCTCCCGTCTCCTCCTCCGTCGTCGCTCGCTGTGGCCCCGCCTCTGTTTTCTGACTTCCTCCGTGCCGCACGTCCCCTTGTTCCTCGTGTCCTTGCCTCCCTCGTTACCGACCCGTCCGTTCCTGTCTCGAGTCTGTCTGCTCTTGTTGCAACAGTCACTTACTTTGCCGCTACCCGCCGCCTTGACTATGCCACCGCTCTGGTCTCTAACCCT